GAGATCCGGCCACTGCACTCCAGCCTGGGCCACAGAGCAAAAAAAAAAAAAAAAAACAAAAAAAAAACAGATTAAAAGCTTTGGTCCTTTCAGTAGGAGATGGCTATGAAAAAAAAATTTAAGTTTTGGCTGGGCACAGTGGCTCAGGTCTGTAATCTCAGCACTTTGGGAAGTCGAGGCAAGAGGATTGCTTGAGCCCAGGAGTTCAAGGTCAGCCTGGGCAACATGCTGGGACCCTGGCTCTACACAAACACACACACACAGATTAGCCAAGTATGGTGGCATGCACATGTAGTCCCAGCTACTAAAGAGGCAGAGGTGGAAGGATCACTTGAACCCAAGTTCAAGGCTGCAGTGAGCTGTGGTCACACCATTGCACTTAAGCCTGGGTGATACAGCAACGCCATCTCTCAAAAAATAAAAATAAAAATAAAGGTTCAGTGGTTCTTTAAAAATAGAGATAACAAAATGAAGATGTTGTAAACAAATTGAACCCCAAAGCCCACTGCTTGCTTAGAACATTCCAGGTGAACCAGATGTACCCTACGGGTTTGTCTTCTTACTTACGGTTCTAGGAGTGTAGGCTAGATACTCTTTATTGCTGTTTGGAAAACCCTTGGGCTTTTCCAGCTGTCTGAGTTTGCAGTGTGCAGCCTTGCTATTGTGTTGGCTGACATGCTGCACTTCAGTGCTTTTCTTTGCTACTTCCTTTTATATTATCATTTTCCAAAAATAGTTGGGTTATAAGTGATTCTCATTAGAGAATGATTTTTTCCATCTCCAGTTAAATTGTGTCTTCATCAACCTTTAGAACATAGAAAAAATATGGCCGGGCGTGATGGCTCATCCTGTAATTCCAGCACTTTGGGAGGCGAAGGCAGGTGGATCACTTGAGGTCAGGAGTGTGAGAGCAGCCTGGCCAAAATAGTGAAACCCTGTCTCTACTAAAAATACAAAAAAATTAGCCAGGCATGGTGGCGCATGCCTGTAACCCCAGCTACTCGGGAGGCTGAGGCAGGAGAATCTCTTGAATCCAAGAGGCAGAGGTTGCAGCGAGCTGAGATCATGCCATGGCACTGCAGCCTGGGCGACAGAGTGAGACGCTGTCTCAAATTAAAAAAAGAAAAAGAACATAGAAAACATTTTAGATTTTTGTATGTTTGCCAATTAACAATCTTCATATCTCAAAGCTATACACATCCTTGTTGTGGAAAATTTTAAGTATGCAGAAATAAAAAGGAAAGGAAACAAAAATCACCCATAATCTTTCCACCTAGAGATAACCACTCTTAATATTTTGGAGTTTCAGCCTTTTAAAATGCATATTAAATGCTTTTATAAAACAAAATGAAATGTAATACACAACATTTTTTACTTCCTTTTTGTTTTAGCTAAAATGTGCCTCTTTCCATTACTACACAGCAGTGTATAAATATACTGTTACATTGGACATTAAGGTTTGCCCAAGTTTTAGATGGTGGACACCCTTGTAACTAAGTCTTTGCATGTATCCACTATTATTTCCTTAGGTTAAACTCCTAAAAGTGTTGCTGTGTCACAGGGCATTAACTTTTTAAAGGTCTTAACATATAATTTCAAGTTACTTTTCAGAAAGTTTGGACTAATTTCTCCTCCCATCTTTGGAAGAGCATGTATCATCTTTTCATTTAATCTTTGCTAACTTAAGTGGAAATTTTGGTATTTCATATTATTTCCTTTTCTTTCATTGCTGGTGATGTTGAACATTTTTTATGTGTCTAACATCCTTTCATATGTTTTGTGAATGCCCATTTATATTCTCTCCCCATATTTCCGTCAATGTGTTCATTTTCTTATTGATTTGTATAAACCCTCTATATACTAAAATGTTAATTCTTTGACATGTTGCAAGTATTTTTTGGTTTGTATCAATTACCTTTAAATGTTGACTATGGTGTTTTATGTTTGGGGAGTTTAATCTGTTTGTAATTTATTGGCATACCAAAGTTTTAAATTTCTGTCTAATCAAATCAACCAGTCTTTTCCTTTTCGGTTTTGGCGTTTTATGCTCTTCCCCACTCCAATCTTAAAAAAAATTACCATTTTTTCTAATACTTTAATGGCTTCTTTTCTTTTTTTCATGTTAACTTAGAGAATTATATTAAGTGTACTATCATAGAAAAATGAGCATGAGTTAAGTTAGGACTAGTTTTCATCATTCCACTCTGAATTGCCCTTAGCTGTTTCCTCCACTAAAATTAGAATCTTCTATGATCCCAGGGAAGTAAGTGCTCCAGCCAGGTTGGCTTCAGGCAGCCCCTCCTTCCTAATTCATCTTAGTTTACCACCCTGGTCAAAGGCATCTTGGATCCCTAGAGGCTCAGAGGAAAGTTTTCTCCTTCACAGAGAGTGACCTGCTTGCCATGTGCTCCAGTGTCTGGAACCACACTGATTTTCCTGGAGGCTTTCGGGCCAGAGTGCAGGACCAAGTGTTGGAACCAGGGCAGTTTGTGGAGGGCTAGTTCCCCTGTTGTCCTGTACCCTTTGACCCACCTCTAGAGCATCCTGACCTGGTGAGGTGGGTGCCAGCTCCTCACATAGTTCCTTATGCCTAATTGTTGTTGGTGTAAATCAAAATCTTTCCCTCACTTCCCCTGCACAGGAAAGACAAGTGGGTGCATGGAGCCCAATCAAATCAATTTATTTTGTCACCAAAAAATTTTTCTTTCTTTTTTTTTTTTGAGACAGAGTCTCACTTTGTCACCCAGACTGGAGTGCAGTGATGCAATCTCAGCTCACTGCAGCCTTGACTTCCCAGGCTCAGGTGATTCTTCTACCTCAGCCTCCTACGTAACTGGGACTACATGCGTGCGCCTCCATGCCCAACTAATTTTTTGTATTTTTAGTAGAGACAGGGTTTTTCCGTGTTTCCCAGGCTAGTCTCAAACTCCTGGGCTCAAGCAATTTTCCTGCCTCGGCCTCCTAAAGGGCTGGGATTATAGGCTTGAGCCACCACACTCGGCCTGTCATCGAAGTTTAACATGCTGGAGCAAGAAAAGACCTAAAAGCACATTATTTCACACCTTTGTTTCTTTAGATAAAGTTCTGAGGCTCCAAAGTGGGGTAGTTACTATAGATGGCAGACTGTCAACCTGCTGGTGAATAATTCTGTGTGTTTTTACTCCTCATTTATTAGCTAGCCCCTGCTGTGTGCCAGACACTGTGGTAGGCCTTGAAAATTTTTAAAGTGTCTAAACGTATCTTCCTGCCCTCTAAGAACTCAACTGTTTAGCAGGGAGACAGATAGATAACAACTAATCATAGCATGTATTATGGATTCATTAATACAGGTATGGACAGGGTACTGGAGAAGTACAAAAAAAAAAAGGGTAAATAATTCTGGCAGGAGGGGCTACAAAATTGGAGAAGACTTCCTGGAGGAGGTAATATTTGGACTGGACTTTAAAGAAAAGGCAGTTGTTTGCTGCAAGGGCAAGACCACAGCAGGGGCAAAGGCACAGAGGCTGCAAGTATAACGCATAGTTGGGGACTGGAGAGTGGTTTGGTGGCTGGTGGGGTGCAGGGGATTTCCTCTGTGTCCTTGGCTGCAGCCAGCTGAGCCATATGCAGTTCCCCTCTCCTCTTTCCATGTCTTTATATAGAATGATGTTCTCCACGTGTCTGCTCAAGCAGCTCTTCCCTCTAATGCTCCCGGAATGAATGACAGCTCCTCTCTCAATCTTTGCATGACACCACATACTTCCCTCTATTACAGTGACTTTGACATTAAAATCAGAGGTGACAGTAGGGATTGGGTCTTTTTAAAAAAATTAATTAGAACACATGTTTGGGGTTGGATAAGAAATTCAAATCTTATGAAAAGGTAGAAGTTGAAAAAAATAAAAAGAACAAAGCCAAAGGGTATACTATCTTGAAAGTGTTGGAAAGCCATTGGAGATTTTTAAGCAGGGAATTAAAGGTATTTGGAGAGGAAGGGACTGGAGGCTAGGTGGTCAGTCAGAAAATAATTCAGGGATGAGGTGCCTGCAGGTGGGAGGTAACGATGGCAAAGAGGGGAGAAGATGAAGGTAGAACACATAGAACTCACACACTAGTTGACTGTGGAGATGAAAAGAAGAGGAGAAGAAAAGATGATGATGAAGTTTCTGATTTACTCAAGCTGCTGCCCTATCAACCACAAATTCAATATGAAATCATGCTAATTTCTCCTTCAGTGCAGAAAAAGGCAAAGTTAGCCAAGTCCACACTTTTAAAAGGATCACATGGAGAAGATGTAACACTAAACTGTGCATTTGGAAGTCATTTTTTCCCTAATGCAATAAATATGATCAATATGTAGAATAGCACAAATATTTTGCATGACAATATCTCTTAAAGTTTTCTTCTCAGATTAAGGTAAGGTCTGTAGAAAGACACCAGGACAAAGGAGGACCATAAAGTAAAGCTGATCCCAGGGTGAGTTAGCTGCACAGGAGAGTCAGGCCAAAGTACTCTCTCTTAGGAGTGAGATGAGCTGCAGTGAAGCCAGGCAGGCATATTTCTCAGACCCACATCTTATTTACCCAGAAGGTATTATGTACAGGAGGGGCAGCATTTCCTATGCTCAGCTCTATCCAAGGCCTGCCCCTCCTCACTCGTGCTGGACTTCTGAAGACAGTATGGGGAATGGAAGCTCCCAATACCTGTGATTTGCACAAGTGTGCAAAGGTTAAAGAACATGATTGTGTGGGATGTTTCTGTGTAATCATATGCAAGAGATAATACTAGACGGAATATGAGATACTGTAAAACATAAGACACACTCTCAGAATTTACTGTCTAATCTGATTAAATTATAGAGGGTTGAAAACATTCTTCAAACGAGCATATAATTTGCCTACCAAAAAAAGACTTAAAAGTAGGGGGGCTGTCCATGGGACTGTCAATAATGTTTTTACTAGCTAAACTAAAAGTAGATTTTACACTTTAGTTAATCTTTCTCTATCTCTCTCTCCTACCAGATAATTTTCAGGATCAGATGAAAAGGGAACTAGCCTACCGAGAAGAAATGGTGCAACAGTTACAAATTGTAAGATGCATTTCTACTTAAAAATAAATTCAACTTGATTGGTTTGTTTTCAGACTACCCAATATGTATGAAACTGTTCACTTTTTGCATGAAATCCTTTGGTCCACTTACCTCTCAGCTGGCTTAGATGCTAATTACCAAGAGATTTACTTAGACACAGGATAAACAGATGTGGCAGTATGTTTCCTCTAAATGTAACTACCATGTGTTAATAGACAGATGTGTAAATTATCTCTGTGGGTAAACCAAAGGTACCTACATTTTCTTCCATTATGCAAACTTCCCAAACACAGTGCTCAGTGAAGGGCTCAGTGAAGGGCAACTGTCTTCTATCCTCTCCTTTCACTACCCACGCTTGAACCAGGCCCTCCACTACCAATAAAACACAATTAATGAGCACAATTAATCAATTAAATTCACTTGAAGGATGATGAAAAGAAACAAATGATTTCCAAATGAAATGTATTACTCTATCCCAATCATTTCTAAAAATGGACACTCACTAAGATCTATTTATATGGGAACAAAAACCAGGAAGATGTCTGATAAGGAAATGTAGTGGTTTTGCTTTGGGTTTCTGTTTGCTTTCTGAATTTTTTGCCCTTTGTCCCCATGTAGATACATCTAGTATTATTCATTAGGGCTTTTAAAGGAGTCTCCCAAGCTTCTTCATTTTCATGAGTACAATGGGGAAAATTATTTCTGCTCAATATATTCAAGATATATTTAATCACCTGGATAAAAACACCTACTGGTCCTTAGTGATATTCCCAGCATAATTATTACACTTTGGGTTGCTTGACATTTCTGTACTGATCCATGCTACCTTTCAACCATTAAGCATGGATCCATGCATATGTGCCTGTCTTGTGTGCAGAGCCATATCTAGTTCTTTTGTCAGGATTATTTAAGAAAGGTAGTTATTAATGTTTCCATTCTTCATCAGAGAAATCATGCCAGTGTTAGTGACGACTCCTAAGAGTCATTTTTGAAGCAATTGGCTTTCCTTGATCTCAAGTGATCGTTAACAACTCTCAGTTCTGAAAACCACTACATAAGATGCTGCTTAAACAAGATTTTTTTCTCATGTTGGTTTTGTTTGCACTCAAATTTACTGGGGAGCAGAGGATTTTCATAATTGATTTAATAACAAATTCCCATTCTTAGCTTTTGTTTCCTTGATAATAAGAGCTGTGATTTCTTGCTGTGAATTGTGTTCTCTGTTTAAAGGAAAAACTTAAATAAAAGATTCGATGTAGGGGGATATAAAATTTTAGGATCTCCCTTATTTTACACAGGTCATCATTTTCAGGTTTTGTTTTGTTTGTTTGTGTCTTTTTTTTTGAAACAGGGTCTCACTCTGCTGCACAGGCTGGAGTGCAGTGGTATAATCATAGCTCACTATAGCCTCAAACTCCTGGACTCAAGCAAGCCTCTCACCTCAACCTCCCAAGTAGCTGGAACTGCAGGTGTGCACCACCACACCTGACTAATTCTTTAATCTTTTGTAGAGACAGAGTCTTCTGTATTGCCCAGGCTGGTCTTAAACTCCTGGCCTCCAATGATCCTCCCACCTGGGCCTCCTAAAGTGCTGGGATTACAGACATGAACTACTGCACCCAGCCCATTTTCATACTCTTAAAACAAAAGAAAAAAATTGCCACACGTGCAATAAAAAATATTGTGATTTCAGGGGGTGGTGGTGAGTATAGCAAAATGGGCATTAGAGAAGGAAACAGTATTTCTTTTAGTGCCCCTATTCAAGGCCAGTTATGTAACCTTAATGTCTTAATTTTCTTTGGCATTTGGTTTCTTTAGTGAAAGACGAAATTATATTGTCTCCATGTAATAAGCACATAGGACTGATAGAAGAAAAAATGTCTCATGTCTTTTGAGATATTTGGTACATGGAAGATTAAAACTGGTATTACTAAATCATTTTGTTATGCTGTATTGTAAAATATTTTATCACATGTTTTCATCTATCTAAACAAATGTCGTTAATTCACATTCCTATAGATAGTAAACTATTCCTGGAATCAAATTAAGTAATTTGGGAGAAGCTTGACTTTCCCGCCCCTACCGTCCTGCCCTTGTAGGTATCGTGTAATTCCTGAAATACACAAAGGTACATCCAGGGTAACAACATGAAAATTGGAGAAATCGACATGATTTGTCCCTCCTGCTTCTTCCCCTTTTTGTGTGTCCCCTACCATTAGATGCCCAGGGTTTTCATGCTGACTCCAGTACCTATCACAGTGTGCAGCATCAAACAGCTGTTTATAAACATTTGTTGAATGAATCACCACCCATGATGACCCTGACCCAACTCTGATACTCTCATGTAGCAGTCCTCTTAATTCTTTCCCAAATTTCCCTGGCTTGGTCCTAGTTTCCTCAAATGTTATTTTACACTAAACAAATACTATTACCACAACTCCTAAAGGAAGGAATACTAGCAAATTTGGGGGAGCTTCTGTATTACTGCCCTGTCTACACCTAACAGACATGAGCTTTTAAAGTCTGTAACTTGGGATTGAGACCCATCCCATACAGTTCATTAAGTGTCAGTTCCTCAACCAAAAGGAACTGCTATAAGGTTTAACCTAGTGCCCTGGTAGGAGTATTACAAGGTGCAAGTGTGCAAGTGAGTAATAAACATGAAATGTGCATACAAGCCATAAAATGCTATGCCAATGTGAGTAATGAATTTAATGGTATGGCCCTTCTCAAAGTAGTACCTACAATGGTGGAACTATTATAGGTGTGAGCCACCGTGCCCATCTGGCTAGATATAGTTTTGTGCAGAAAAGACCTATGTTTACATGGTACTATCTGCTTTAGAATTGAGGCTGCAGATTCAATGTTACTTCAACAGAAATGTATCTAATTCCTTATTCAGCTTGATGTATTTGTCAAAGTACCTGAGGGAAAATGTCTTTAGAAAATTCTATCTAAAGATTATCAAGAAATTGCAAGGTATCACAATTACTGGCTTTCTGAATATTTTAGTTGGATGATCTTATTCATCAGTCGATATGGTTGCGTGCTTTGCTTCCTGAAAACAGAACGGTTCACTCAAAATTATTTTATGTTTAAAGTTTACGGAGCATATATTACAAAACAGGCTTTTTTTTTTTCTTGAGATGACATAAAAACCCACTGTATCTTGCAGTCATGGAGAATTCAAATATATTAAAACCATCATATTTTGTAATGATTCCCAAAGACCCACAATGCATTTATCCTATGTTGTTAAAAAGCGTTTCTATTCAAAAAACTTATTTCGAAAGTGTCTTGGGTATCATTGCTATAGAAAGAAAACTTATGAATTTCTTCAGCTCCTGCATTTTTAGATTCTCTGTTGACTGTCATTTCTGCACCATTGCTTCTTTTTCCCGTGTTAAATGTAAAGTTGTGATGACTACAGAGTCAAATGATTGATTCTCTTTGTGTCTTTATAAATGAATGTACATTTATCTCAATGTGAGATTTAAAGCATGTGAGGAATTATTTAACATTTATACATGACTGTAAGCTACCTTTTTAAAAAATAGCTCAAATTTTGGGTTTTTTAGTATTTAACATGGTTTGTATTAAAGTCCCCCACCCCTGCCCTGGGTTTTCAAGTGCTTATAGCATTTTTATTACTAAACCACATTTAGTTATGCAAAACAAAGAAATATATTCCTATTCCTATGAACCACTACAAAAGATTTTTAATTTAGCATGTTTATGAAAATGTAAATGTTTAGTGTAATAAAGGGTAAAGGATTTCTCATTCACAAATGAATTGTGATTCTAGGAGAAGTTTATTCAATTTTAAAAGCAAAACTTATCAGTCCTTGGGATGAAGAAGCTGACTGAAGATTTTTATTCAGTAAATAGCCTTTTGATTAAAGTTTTTCCAAGGACTGAAATATAAAAACTTACAACATGAACTGAGACTGTGATGATGCCTTGATAAAACTTTTGTTTTATTATTACAAATTTGGCAATAATTTTATAAGCAAGTGCATCCGTGTATAAGCTACTACTGTAGATTTGTTGAAGACATGCTTTTTTATTTTTTAGTCATAGTTCTTGGAGGACATTGTGATGCTGCAATACAGAGCACATGATAAATGGCTAGACCCAGATTCACATCCTTTGAACTTGTCAGATCGCTACCACAAGGCGTGTTGATTGGGAAAATGTGCTAGTCTTTAAGTGCCCTCTGCTGTTTTTCCAGAATGCTGCAGTCACACGCAGCTAGGGGGAACCGGTCTCAAAGTTCTTCATTAAAAGCCTCAATTAAAATAATGTTCAATCAATAGATTAAGGACTAATGTTTTGTTCACTGTGGACTTGTAAAACAGCAGTTTACAACTTCCTAATGACGGGAGTGCAGTGCGTCTTCACAGGGAAAGGAGCGAGAGGTCGTTATCTTTGCTGGAAGAGTGCTTGTTCTTTGGCAAGGACACAGCTCTTCAGTAAGATGGTCTTTTCTTGGAGGTTCTCCAGTATTTACTAGGATGGGAACTTGCCCAGATTTCTACTGTATCAACCTAGAGAGTTTGTAAAAATATGTCTTACATCTTTATTTTTTTAAAAAGGTAGATAGAACCATTACTGTTTTGCATTATATTTTTAGAAGAAGATCCCTGGGCCACTGGAAGATTTTGGTTCTGTATCTAAATATGCATCAAAAGGAGATCCCTGCAAGTCAGAGGACTTAATGCAAGCCTGAACTTCCGTGGAAGCTGCCTTAAAATTCTCTAGCAGTAGACAGACTTTGGCTACTGTGTGTCCATTTCCAATTAGTGATCTACTGTTGTGCACCTTGACAGTGCAATCAGTTGTTCCTTAGTTATGTAGCGTTTTTCTTCTGATCTTTCTCTTTTTGAGATGTTGACTGACCTGAAGGTGTGAGCTCAGGTTAATTCTCTTGGCACAATCCAAGAAGTCACTTTTTCTTTTTTAAACTCCAGTACTTTTGATCTACTATAACCAAGTAGGTAATTTAGAAGTTACATAATACTTTGAATTTTTTTCTCCATGCCAATCTCGATAATTTCCAAGCTGGTCAAGATGAAAAGAAAGCTTTTATAAGTCCTATTGTAGATTTGCATGGAATAACTAACTTGTTTAAATCGAGCCTCTAAAATCCTGAGCTTCCGAGTTGGGGAGAATTTGCTGAAGTGTCTGCAAGTCCAATGTTGCATTTTATGGAATCTGAAGCACCATCAATTGTAAGAGGCACCGCTACTTGATGAGTCATAAAGAAAAAGGTTTCAACTGTAATTCTAAGATACCATCAATTATAATACATGTGATTTCAGAATGTTAAAATGTGAGGGGATAAAGTGCATCCTGGAATCAGTGAAATAATGCTGTTTCCATTAACAACTGGCCATGCTGCTATAATCTTTATTTACCATTCATGATTTAGGACTTAGAATGGAAAAATACATGATTCTCAGCTCACTACTTTTTGCTTTTTATCTTTTTTTTTTTTTTTTGGCTTTTATTTCATTTTGTTTTAATGAAATAAATGAAAAAATCAACATTCTGGTGGGGATAATTCTTCACCCCAGTTTAAATTCCAATCTGGACCCTTGGGACTCAAGTATGCTTATTTGGAAATGTCCTTTTTTTCTTGAATCCTTTTTTTTGCTTTTCTTTTCCTTCTCAGCTTCCTACCTTAATGAAATGCTGTGTTATTGCTTCTGAAAAAAAGAAAGAGGAGCCATTTTGACTTAGCTCTGAAAGTAGAATCCTTCAGGCGGGTTTCTTTGGATTAGGATGAATAGTTTACTCCTTTAGTGAGATGGCCCATGGTGATTTAACTTATCTTTCCTGGTGACTGGCATAGAACAGACACTTGCTAAATCTTTGTGGTGTCTAATTTTGATATTGAGGACTTTTTTAAAACGTGAGAGTGGCACAAACACATTTTATTGGGAACTCCTTGTGCCCAAAAGTTTACATTGTTTGTCATCCTAAATAATAGAATCCCATTCCAGGCTCTGTCATGTCATACATCTAGAGAAGTGATCCATACGCTTTGGCACATTGCAGCATACACCATAATGGAAAACCAATATTCAAAAGGGTCTCTGTTAATAGCAGGTATAGCATAACCTAGAGTGAAAAGAAGAGGTAACTGGAGTAGGGCCTTGTGTAACTGTCCTTGTCATAGTTATCTAGCTGATCTCAGCCTGCATCCTAAAATACAAGATTAGGACACTGAACTTTTAATGTTACTATATGAATCATTTATTTCAATGCTGCTATCTATACCCTTTATCAGATATGTGCCTATCTGACATGTTTATGTTGTGGTTATATATCAAAATAGTGAGATGGTTATTTTATTATTGTCTTTTCTTTCCTGTTAAAAACACTGTTTGATTCAGCTAATTATTACAGTAAAATGGTCCAGCTCTTTTTAGCCACTAGCATCACTGTAGATTTATAACTCTTTCTCATTAATAATAAAGGTTCACATGTGTGGACTGTTGATAATGAGAGGAAAACATACCATATACTGGAATGTGGGAAATTATATATATGTATATAATTATATATATATATATAATTGCTTAATTGAATGAAAGTAATTTTATTTCCCTCGCTGCTTTTACTTAACAGCCATATTTCACGTTACATTCTAGAAGGGTGAATATTTATTCTTTACATGTAGAATAGACTCAAGTCTTTAAAGCCCTGAGTTTAGCCTGTAATGCTGAAGGTGGGTAACATAAGAATAGAGCACCTTAACGGGGGTTAGTGGAGAGGCAAATCTAAATAATACATTGAGTCCAATTTCAACCACTGGAATTTTCTAACGAAAAGAAGCATACCAAGTGTGATCAACTTTTATTCAAAACCCCAGTATTCAAAAGTACTTTTCAAGTTTACCCAGGTAGAATTCTCAAGGTCATATTTTCCATTGAGTGCAGTTAGTTCTGATGCTTCTTCGTGTGTGTGTGAGAGAGAAGGGGTCTTGCTCTGTCACCCAGGCTGGAGTGCAGTAGTGCAATCATGGCTTATTGCAGCCTTGACCTTCTGGGCTCAAGCGATCTTCCCACCTCAGCCTCCCAAGTAGCAGGTGTGTGCCATCACACTTGGCTAATTTTTTAACTTTTTGTAGAGACAGAGCCTTCCTATGTTGCCCAAGCTGGTCTTGAACTCCTGGGCTCAAGCGATCCTCCCACCTCAGCCTCCCAAAGTGCTGAGATTACAGGTGTGAGCCACCGCACCCAGCCTCTGATGCATCTTATCAGTTATTGAGAATCTAATCAGAGTAATAGTTTGGGTTTAGTTAGTCTTATTTGCAATTTATAAGGATAGCATATGTTATAAAGAAATTACGTCTGTTATAAAGAAATCATTCTAATAAACTGAACAATTACATTAAACTAGTTTGTAAGCACGTTCTTGTTTTATGACCTTGAACATACATTAGAACATCATAACTCAGTTTTTATACCTAAATAAATATGATACCATATTATTAAACACAAATTTTTAAAAACTTTAAAAAGTGAAACATCGCATGTTAACCTCAAGGACTAGCTGTAGCAGCAATCCAGTGTGATCACCTGTTCTGTCCTCACTGTACTTGTTAACAGGCCTTAAGGATGCTGTACCCCAGAAGCCTCATACTGCTAAGCAGATGGAGACCTCTTTTTTTCAGGGAGGATCTATTGGCATTCAAATTGTTAGGCATGATGAAGGGTCTCCATTACACATCTGTCTCCAAATCTAGCTTACCTGGATGGTGTTGCTTGTTTTTATCTTATAGATACCCTATGCAGCAAGTTTGATCAGGAAAGAAAAGCTTGGCGCCCATCTTAGCAAAAGCTAAAAGGTAAGATCGTCAGAGGAAAGCAATTTTCTTAACTCTCTGTATTGTTGTGTGCTTGAACATATTCTTTATTGATGTGTTTGAAATAGCCCAAGGGATTGGTAAATTTGCATCCTGTGTTTGAGTCAATATACCAATAAACTTCGTTATGTCTGGGGATGGGATTTCCTAAATGAATGGCCAAGTACCTCTCATAAATTCCGTGGAAAATTCCTGTAACTAAAAATTCTGTATTCAGTCTGCAAAAGTGATCTTCTTTCTGTTTTACGGCTTTCTGCTCTTTATGGTTCTGACACCCCAATTACTGCCCCCAAGGAAACCAAAGTGTCAGCAGTCATCCTCAGGGTGTCTCATCTCTGTCTCTCCTTCGCTTCCAAAAAGCCTGCCTGAAATCTGACTTTCAGAGGGTTACTGCAGGTGGTAATATGAACAACTGGGGACAATATAGACCTTTGAGACCTTCTGCTCTAGGAATAGTAACTAATCTTTTCCCTAAACTAGTAATAGTTTCTCTACAGCTGAAGCCAGGTTCAAGGTCATATCAGTTTAAAAGAAAATGGGAAAGACAATTATTTTGGACTCTTAAGGAAAAGCAGACAGTGAAAATTCAATGGCTATATTCAGAACATACCTAAACATTTGAAAAGAAACTTTTTCAGCCCATGGAAGAAGACATGTAATTATTAGAATTGTGGGAATGCAAAAACTAGCACTTTGTTTCTGTAACAATATATTGGGATGACCTAACAACTAGGATTGCTAAATCAGGAAAAAAACCACAGATGCCAAAGGTAGCATTTGTTAGTGCTCATGGCCAGCTAGGACTGCAGCCATTTATCAGTTTGATCCATTCCCATCAGAATGACTCTTCCCACTCCTCCCCTCTGGAACATATTTTCAATTCAATAGAATTTGTTAGCAAAGAGAATTGTGCAGGCTCACGGTTCCTTTCGTTCCTTCACCTCCCTTCTGCATATCACAAATTTCCTCTAGCAGGTGCAAATGACAATTTTTCTTGCCATTATTTTTATTAGTGGTAGTCTTCAGTATTTGTCTTAAATAATAATAATTATGTTACATTTCATCAGGTGCTCAAAACCCTTTCCAAAACAGTCTTTCATTCATGTGCTTTCCCTTAATTTTACACATGGGGAACTGAGGTTTACAGATAAGAGATATGACATTTTATGTTCATGTTGCAAAGCCAAGAAGGGATTCTGGGGGCCCTGACTTTGGATCTAGTGACTGCCTCTTCCTAATGCATGGACTTATTGTTCTTGGTGAGCAGATGATACTGCAACAGAGGTGCTCCGAGAGTAAGTCATTCTGTTTCCATCTCTATGAAGTTATTAACAAATGCACCTGTGAAGTTGGCTCTGTTCTATATATTAAAGTATTTTTATTAAGTCTGAAGTTGACTTTGGGCAATTTCTTTCTCAGTATAGTAGACCAGGTTTACACCAGCAGTGTGAAATGAAAATTTTAGAACATTTAGATTCCAGTGAATTTTAACTCAGAATATCAAGATAATTAAGGCAAGAATGGTCCAAATTAATTCTGATAAACTCCATACGTATAATGGTTGAAAATGTCAAACTAATTTTCTTTCAAGAGAAAATATTAGGATGTTTTTAAAAATAACCTTCTTATTCAAAGTTTATAAATCATAAAGTCATACGAATCATGAAGTTTATGAATCAAAACTCAGTTAATTGCACTCACCCAGGGACACACACAAACACACACACACACACACACACAATGAAAACAAAAACAAAAGGAAACTCAGTAAATGTTTACAATGAGCTCACTTAGCTTTCCAGCCCCTGATAACAACCTTGTGCCCCTGTCCAGCTTCTCCCACTGCCTACCGCCAATGATGGTAAATTTTGCCTGTTTTTGAACTTTATATAAATGACATTGCATAGAACATTCTCTTGTGTCTGGCTTGTTTTACTCAGCACTTGGGAGATTCATCCATTAGAATGGGGTTTTTGTTGTTTTGTTTTGAGACATGGTCTCACTCTTCTGCCCAGACTGGAGTTGCAGTGATGTGATCATAGCTCAATACAGCCTTGACCACCCTGGCTCAAGCCATCCTCCTATCTCAGCATTATAGGTGTACATGCCACCATGCCCAGCAAATTTTTTTATTTTGTAAAGACAGGGTCTCCCTATATTTCCCAGGCTGGTTTCAAACTCCTGGGCTCAAGCAGTCTTCTTGCTTTGGTCTCCCAAAGTGCTGAGATTACAACCATGCCCAGCCTTAGCATGTGATTTGATTTATACTTAAAAGCTTCAATAAACTCTCTTTGTATTCCTTACACTTCCCCAACCCATCTTCCCTGTTTGTCAGACCTGAGCCCATTTTGCACCTACAGATTAAGACTCACTGCCCAGAAACTACACTTCTGATAGTGACCTAGCATACGGTTAGGTGGGAAAAAGAAAAAAAAAAAGATTGATTTGTGTTTAGTAACTAATGCTTCCTCCATGCTGATTTTGTTTCCATCCTTGCAGACAACAGGGATTTCTCTAAGTAGACCCTGGTGCTTTCAGAAGATTAGTGGTTACTTAAATGCTTAGCTAAATCAGCCAAGCAGAGAATCATGACTGTATTGTTAGAGGCAGTCTCTGATTCTCAACATGCCAAGCCTGCAAGGAGTTACCCCAAGAGAGATTACAAGATAAAAATCATTACACCAAGGGAGAGAGACACATTCTGTCTTGCAGAGTGACCACAGGTTTCCAAATTAGGGACTGATGCATTAATGTCTTATGCAAGAGTGACCCTTAAGGTAGTATGCTGTATTCTTGCCACCCAGTGGATTCCAATATTACTATTAAGAGGAGGAAGCTTTTCAAAACCACAGGCAATCCACTTAGTAAGCTGAGCAAGTACTGCCACATATCACTGATCTGCATATTTTTTTTGTTCTACATTAGAACATGAGAAATTCCATGTTGAGTCAAAATAAAGATCCACCCAGGTCAAGATACTTTAAGAGCAAAATTGTTGTTCTTAGCAATATCAACCTCAAAATGTAGGCATATACACTGAATACTCTTAGATTTCCCTTGATAACACCATAAAGATCCATTACCCATGGATTTAGCTACACCTTTCTTCGACCTAAGCATAGTCCCCATTGGGGCAATGAATTCTATTTGTTAAGCTACCAGCTGTTTAAGTGTAGTTTATTTTATTTACCTTCAAACTACCTCCTAAAACAAGCCCTATTAGATTAGACATTGTACCGCTCTTCGTATTTGTCTCATTATGAGCTCATGAGTACAATGGAAAGGATTTGAAAAAATACTTCAAAATGTTGCAGACATTATCCTTTCACCTGGGCCCATTTTTAATGCCAGAATTATTCCCGATGGCCTTCCTAACCTCTAGTTAATTCTGTGACCCACTTCCTGCACAGATAACCCAGTATCATCTGTGTGAAATCTGTCCCCAAATAAAAATGGTATGACGTTTAATGGTATTTATGGTATAATGGTATTATTATTTTACATTCATTTTCTTCCAAACACATTTAAATGTTTTGCAGTTATCATTCATGTAACTAGTTGAAGCACCCACAACTTTCACAGACAAGAATTAAACTGTTTTACATAAGTAGGAAGTGAATCAGGGAAATGTCTCATTCATAGTCATGCAGAAACTCAGTGGCCAAACTGGAAATGATAATAATGATCATTTATTGAGCACTAACTATGCCAGATACTGGCTAAATACTTACTGTGTTATCCTTACAATGCTGTAAGGTAGATCCTGTTATTACCTCCAATTCATACTTAGAAACTGAGGCTCAGGGAGTCACATAGCTCTCAAGTGGCAGATACAGGATTCAATCCAGGTCTATTTGACCCTAAAACTTTCTCCCTGTCTTCCTTGGGTCCTTAGCTGGTGGTGAGGGAGATTGGGTGCCAGATCTGGTGCTATCTCCCTATGTTATCTTGAGTAACATCATTTCATCTCTTTGAGTCTCACTCTTGTCTATAAAATGTGGATGGCCAAACCTGATCAAAATCTCTACTAGCTCTAAAATTTTGGCTGCCACTTTTGTGTGCCAATTTTCTGATATATTTTCTCTTTTTCCCCAGAAAAGGGCCACTTTCATGAAAGTCAGCCCAGGACCCCATGTAACACCCAAGGGCATGACCCACCTATTTTTGCCTTATGTCTGCATTTTCTTAATCACTAATTGCTACATTGCATCTTTCTGGAGCGTTTGGAATATTATTTTTTATTGGTATTTTAACTATATCTACCTCTTTGGTAAACTCTTATTTTTGTTTCACTTCTGGAATAATTACTATGAAAGTAACAACAAGAGTCTTTAAAAAAAAAAAAAGATACTGGATTTTAATTGAACATTCTGTGTCCTCCTTTTGTATAGATCAAAGATAAAGAGGGAGAGTGGTACATTCATTTCTCTCATCTTTAGTCAGACATAAGAGGTTCTTTTAAGAATCTCTGTAGAGAATAATGGTGTGGCCCCACTGTTCTAAGGACTTTATGTTGATTATCTTATTCAATCTTTGGAACAACCCATTGAGGTAAGTATTACTGCTTTCACCCCCTACAGCTGAGAAGGCTAAAGAGACAAGAGATGAGTAAGTTGCCTGTGGTCTCACTGCTAGGAAGTCACAGGATTTGAGCCAGGCTGGGGCTGACTCTGCATTCCATACTTTGTCTGCTCTCCTCTGGTTTGTCACCTAAAATCGTGGCCTAATTCACATCTTGTATTATCAGTTATAATTACGCAGTTAATAACTAATCCAATCATTTCATTGATTTTGAATCGCAAAACCTCCGCTCATACTTCTATGTTGCCCTGACACTCTATGACAAGAAAAATAAACATAACTTGGGCCATCCAATCAAAACCAACAGAGCACCAGAGCATGAAATTCTGTCTGCCCCTTTCACTGCAGGCTGCTTTTGTCTTTGCCCAACAACAAATCCCAGCTTCTAAACCCATCTA